AATCTGATCATCCTGAGGGATAGGTTTATATTTAATAGCCAGGTGTTTTACCTATTCATTTGTGATGGAAAATATTATAATGAAGTAATAAACCGTAGCACAGAAATGTTAATCATATATATGTGGTCTGCAAACCCCCTGAAATCACAGACCCCTTCTGCTGTCCCGAGTTGTCTTTATTGGTAACCTCATGATTTAAGATAATTTAGGTTTTGGGACTATGCCCGTAGACCTCGGGGCACGGTTGTTAATAATGGAAAGCTTATTTGACTGCATTATTCTCTTCCTGCATCTTATCTGTTCTGCTGTGAAGTTTTCTAATATCATGTGCTGTTTCTTTGTTTCCTATTTTAGAAGAACACGGAACAAAATCATGAGCGCTGTTGAGACTATTGCAGATCTGTTATTACGGGGTGGAGGAATTACGGGGAGATGATGAGTTGTAGAGGGGTTCAGCTTTAAAAATTCACAGAGTATTTTCATTTTAATGCAAGGTGGGGGTTTAACTCCTCAGTGATGCTGAGAAATGAGATGCCTTCCAGCTCTCCATCTCTCCCCCCACCTAAGAACCACCTCCTTCCAGCCTTCCAGCCTGTGCATACACCCCCTCCCCCAGATGTAGGGGACTGCAGCAGACAGGTGTCCAGCTGCTCTCCTGTGCTACTCAAAAATGAGGGAGGGAGCCTATTGGAAGTGTCTCTCGCAGGTCTCAGTCCAGCCCGGGCTGTGAGACGCGGCGCCGTCCCCGCTGCAGCAGGGCTGTGCCAACCGCCGCGAAACCCACGCGGAGCTGCGCCAGGACAGAGCATCCTCTGCTTGGGGACGAGCACTAAATACCAAAGCTGACTAAATCCCATCGTTGGGAGGTGATCAGTGGAGCCGCTCTGCATTCACAGCCGGGGCTTTACTCACTGAGCGAGCTGTGATGTCACCGCATTAAGCTAAAATAACCACTGAACATGAGAACAAGAGCGATGGGGGGGAGGTTTGATGGGGGAGAGAGAGGGAAATAGCAGGCATATTACCAGTCCTGCATGTGGATCACAGAGCCAGATTGTGAGCAATCCCGGCGCTCAAAGTGTCTCCTTAGCAGAAAAGGGAGAGGGAGAGAGAGGGAGCCAGCAGCCAGCCTTCAGTCCCCACCACGAGAGCTCTCGCGGTGCACTCGGCCAGGGTGTCAGAGGGCGTGAGTGCATTTTTCATTTCTTAGCCTTTGTGTGGTCTGCCAGAGGAATTGGATTCTGTCTGTATTTCCATGTATTTGCCTAACCGTGCTGTGTATTTTTATCCTGGATGTGAGCAGGCGTTAACACATAAACTCACACGCACTTAAATAGATGTAACGTAAATGGATACACGGGGAAGACATTAAGAATAGCCCGAGAGTCAGCTTTCCACCTGAACTGCCCACCTTGAGGTGCCCAGTGCCGTTCCCATTTCCCAGGTGTGCAGGAAAATGGGGTGTTACTGGGAGGGAAGGACTGGAACGGAAAGGGAGGAATATTTCTTTCCTGGCCTCTCTAATTAGTGTTGGCCTTTGTGTGGTGTAAGGCCAGGGAAACGTTGCTCGTGGTGATGGTGCTGGTGCTGAAAAACTGCTGCTCAAATGGCTGTCCCGAGCTTTGCAGGGAATGTGTCTGCAGAGCTTCCATGGAATGAATCCCAGCCGTGCTGATGGCTTGGGATGCTGCAGGATCATGCGTGAGCGTGCGGAGTGGCTCCGTGTGCGTGAGCTGTGCTTGCAGGCTGTGCTGGCACTGGTGGGAGCTGCACCACATCTGGGGGTCACACCTGTACCCCCCCCACACACAGCGCACTCCCTGCTCGGGCTGTGCAGCTCTTGCAAATCCTGCTCTGCCTCCGCCATAACTCATCCTGCATCCAACCTGATGTCGGCGATGGAGGACAGAAATTGAGGAGAGAGAGGGATTTAACCTCAGTTCTTCCCACTAGATTTCCAAGGCGGTGCAATTTATGGACACGAAGACGAGTCTTAGGAGGAAGGGCCAAAAATGCAGCAATTTAAGAGTAGGGAAGTATCAAACAGTGTAACCAGCTCCAAGTCATAACCCTATGTCATTAAAAGGTTCTAGGGCTAACGTGGCCTTTACATGTTTTTTTTCTTTTCAGTTTTCTTGTTTCTAGGTAAACCAAAATTAAGTTACAGAAATGACCAAAAAAAAAAAAAAATCAACTGAAATTCCTAGTGGTCACTCCTGGGGAGGTGGAAAAGGCCATTGGGAAAGGCCGGAGAGTGCTTTTGTGCCTCCAGAGCCACGGGCACTCCTTGCCGTGGGAAAGGCTGCCAGGCCCAGGGTAACGCAGAGCTTGGCTGTTGTTCAGGTGTGCAGAGGGTCTTGGTTGCCATGTGTGTGCCCTTGTGTACCTGTGTGCGTGTGTGTTACGTGTGTACATGTGAGTGTGCACCTGTGTGTTACCTGTGTGTGTGTCACATATGTACTTGTATGTTACCTCTGTGTGTGTACGTATTCGTGTGTTACCTGTGTACGTGTGTGTTACCTGTGTACATGTGTGTTACCTGTGTGTGTACCTGTGTGTGTTACATGTGTACCTGTGTTACCTGTGTACCTGTGTGTGTGCCTTCCCTGCACAGGCACTGGTCGTGCTCTTGCCACCCTTCCCCTGCAGGGCAGGGGCACCGTGGAAGCTCCACCTTTGACAGGTGACCCGTGGGTGCCTGGGGCTGCCCGAGCTTGGGAGCATAAAGGCAGCGAGGGAAGGAGGGAGCCCTTGCATCTGGTGATGAGCAGCAGTGCAGAGCCTGGGTCCTGGGGAATGTTCAGTTCTTATTTCTGCAGTAACCCTGGCTCGTTGATAGTTGTCATTCGTTCCTGATACATATTCTGTGTAATTATTTGTTTGCTGGGTTTCACCTGCACTAATATGGGCTGGTGTTCGTTGTGAGCTGCCCCGAGGCCCCACAGCCAGCAGTGCTCCCGGAGCTGCTGGATATCCTGAGCTGTGTCTCTGCCGAGAGCCATCTCTCCTGGCTGCGTGGCGTCACACGAGTTTGGGTGGCACAGCAGGCCCGCTGTCCCAGAGCCCTGCAGAGAGGGCTGTCAGAGGGCACATTACTGCTTGGGAAAGCCTGGCCTGCTCAGGGCTTCTGGAGCCCCGTTACTGCTGCTGATGAGCCCAGTTCTGGAGCTGCTCTGGGTCTCTCTGAGTGCCTGGCGCAAACCTTCGAGCCTCGGGACTTTTGTTTATTTTAGATTTGCTCTGGCAATGCAGAGTTAATTATGAACAGCAGTCTCTTGTACTTCTGTGCAGTGTAAGTCAGTAGCTTATGGCAAGAAGGAAGAAAAGCATAAACCAAAGACCCAAAAAGTTGGGGTGAGAGCCCAAGTAATTTAAATCAGGAAAGAAGCATCTTTCGTGTATCCTGCTCGAGATTGTTGGGATGTGGCGGCAGGTTGAAGGAGCAGGGTGGTGGCTGAGAGTTTGGGGAGGTGCACAGCCATGGAGGTGTGGGTCTGGCCCCTCCTTGCCAGGCACCGTTTATTTTTCAGCACTTCTGTCTAATTAATATAAGGCCTGCTCAGGCACAGCCGCCCTCGTTGGACGTGTCACTCGTTAATCACGCGACCCTCCTAGCCTTGGGTAATGACCTTGAAAGAATATATCAGCCCATGATGGCGGGAGTGAGGAATTAAATTGTTTCTCTGAGTGCTTATGGTCATTGCTGACAATTTATATGACACAGCTGCCCTAAGCCGGCCGTGCTGGCCATTGTGCCGCAATCATTTTCCCTCCGGGAAGCGCTGGCCGGGCCTGGGGAGCTCCTTTGTGTGAGGAGGAGCAGGGCTCTGCAAGCGGCAGTCCTGCCGGAGGCCTGAGCCAGAACTCGGGCAGCGCCTGCCGCAGCCTGGCTCTCGGCTGCCGGCACCGCCGTAACCTCGGGAATGGCATTAGCCTGGCTGTGCCAACCTGAGGAGGGCTCCGGGATCGGGCTCCCTGCAGCAGGGCGTTCCTAAGGTTTGCAGTGTGAGACACGGGCAGGACAGCTTGAGTGGGCTTGAGATTTGGTAAGATTTGGGTACAAACACATCACATAACCGTGCACGTTCGTGTGCAAAATTAGGCAGACCCTTTAATTGCCATAAGAACCCACATAATACTGTGTGCGTGTCCATGGAAATGAAGGAGTAAATGTTAAGATACGTTAATGTAAGCATTTATGGGTTAATATTTGTATTGTTATATTTTTGTCTTTTCCTAAGTGTTAAATGTACTTGGGAAGGTATTTATTATTTGCCGATAATGAGTAAATGGCTTTCTTAGTTGTTATATATTGGTATCTGCTTTTAGACTGATGAAATAATTTGTTACAGTTATTCAATCATATTATTTATAGAAAACATGTAGCTGAGGATCTAAACATCAGATTGTTCTGCTGTTGCCATATGGGCTGCTTTTATCTAAATATAAACAGTTGATAATTATCACTAGAACTATTGGCTAAAATCATAAAATAGACCGAGAACAAATAACAATCTAATTCTTCATTAACATTTTAAAAATGAAATAGATGTCCTTGTTTATGCTTTCAGTAAATTTGGCTCTGCTTTTACAGAACTGTAAATGAAGCAGAACATTTGTTTTGTACAATCTATACAGTATTTTATATGTATATTGGTATTGGTGAGCTCAGGCTGCTAGATTTTGAGAAGGCTGGTATACATCCAGCCCCACAGAGCTGTTATAAAGTACATGAATTCAAGTATTCATAGAATCCCAGGATGGTTTGGGTGGGAAGGGACCTTAAAGCCCATCCCATCCCAACCCTTGCCATGGCAGGGACACTTTCCACTGTCCCAGGGTGCTCCAAGCCCCAAAGTCCAGCCTGGCTTTGGGCACTGCCAGGGATCCAGGGGCAGCCACAACTTCTCTTGACAAATATTTTTTGCTTCCATTTCAGGTTCCTTTAAATGCTTGGTCTTCTCATAGTGTCTAGTGGCTTATTATTCCTTTATTTTCAATTTTTTTCCTGTTTCTCGTCTCTGCCACCTCCATGTGCGGGTAGGACACAACAAAGGATGTGTTGTCACCTCAGTGTTCTGCTGGCTTGAATACCTCAGGGAAAATTACGCAAGTCAGCAGCAGCCACATGAAACGTTCCTGTAAAATACAGACAAAAACAAGCAACAAGGCAAAAATGAAGATGGTGACTGGGAGGAAAACGCTGTCTTTGTATGGACATCCTGAATGAGGAGTTTATGTTCCCTTTTTAGTTATGCCGATGATTTGCTGTATGGAAAAGGACAGATTATTTTGTCTTGTTCCCATTTCCGTGTTTAAGATTAGAATTCAAAAACGGTAGTAGTTTGGTATCAAAATTATTATTCACCTGGGTTCGGTTTGGTTGCGCCTTGCCCCTTCAAAACCCGCAGAGATTCCTTCGAAGGGACCTGTCCCCACCCTGGGTGAGGCATGGAGGGCCTTGGCTGCAGGTGCAGCCTGGCTCGGGGCTCCAGCAGCGCCAGGACAGCGTCCGAGACCCCGGCGTGCTGGCTCCGAGCCCGGCCACACTGGCTGTGTCCCTCGGGTGCCTCCGCTCTGGGCTTGTGTCCGTCCACCTGCAGGCCACCTGCTCACAAAGAGCCCCTCCCGAGGGCAAAGCCCTCTGCAGCGGGGGCTCCTCTGAGCTCCTTCCTGCTTTCAAGGTGAGCACCAAGTTGGGAACTGCTTTCATTCCCCACGGGAGACCTGTGGTCTGGACGTGACTCCAGAAGCGCCTCGCGGCTGGGACTCGCGCCGCTCCCCTTCTTCCATTGGGAAGAGAACCCCAAATGCCTCCCGAGCTCAGGCGCCCAGCAAGATGTCGCCATTCCTCATTCAAATTCCCTCTCTAATCGGCTGAAGGGTGAGCGAGCGCTGCAGCCCCGTGCTCGCGCTGCGCTCCCCACGCTGACGTCAGCCTTCTTGTGCGGCAAGGATATTTTAAATTTGTTTATCTCTGTGATATCAGGTGGTTTGGTTGCTGGCAGCCCACATTAGCATGGCAGAGCAGCAAATATGTACATATATATTTATATTTAGCATTTTTTTCTGGTATGTTCAGCTGAAAAGGCTTGGCTTGATTAATATTTTCCGCTGTCCGGTAACCATGGCAATGGGGTCAGCAGATATAATACTTAATTTAATCTTCCAACTGCCTCAGTGTGCATCACCAGTGTCCCGAATAATAGAAAGCCTTTTGCTTCTCTCTCCCTTCCTCCCTCCTTCCCTCCCCTCCCTCCCTCTTTCTCCCTCTCGTTCTCTTGCTTCATATATTATTATCTTCACCAGTGGCTCCCTCGTATGACCCAGAAGGAATAAATGGAGGTTTTGCATTCCATGTATGTAGCTTATAAAATAAGAAAATAAAACAAAAACTTGGAAGCCCCTCTCCCCAGGCAGGCAGATCCCCCCAGCAGCTGGCAGTGGGTCCCCCCTCCCCGGCAGGCTCGGCAGCCAATCTCCACGGCGTGCCGGGGCCGTGGGCAGACGTGGAGCGCTCGGGGCGGCTCCGGCGCGGCCGCAGACGCTCTCCAGCCACATGCGCCCGAGCGGACCTTCCTCCTGCCACAAAGCCCGGCCCGGCTTTGCTCTCCAGGTGGGTCCAGTCCATTGCTTTGTCTTTGCTCGGCCCAGGTCCCCCTTAGGTATTTCATTTCGCTCTTTCGGCTTGATTTTTTTTAAGTTGTTTTGGTTTGGTTGTTTGGTTCTTTTTTTTAAACCATTGCAGTCTTTTTCCACAGTGAACACTGTCACTTTTGGGTTGGTTTTGTGGAAGGAGATGACCTGTATACAACCTCCCAGACAGATTTAGTCATACTAATTTAAAAAGGGGGAAAAGAGCATTTTCCTTGTCAAATACTTTGTTGAATTGCCCAGTGACCAGAGCGGACTGACCTGGTGCAGGTCAGGCTGCTGCTCTACTCTTCCCAGCTGTCCCATGTCACATCTCTAGTGAAAAGAGAGGAACGTTACCAGCAGGGATTGGAGTCGTTATTCCAGAGACAGAAAGGATATCAGGAGGGAGAGACACTTGAAATTTCCATAGCCAAAATTCTTCCTCTTATTTTTTTTAATAAATTTTAACCCATCCTTGAATTTACTCAAAGAATAGTTATTATTTTTCGCTTGTTTGTTTTCTCTTTTCTAATATGGTATTTGGGAAACAGAATGACCGTGACCTCTGGATGAGTAAGTGACAGACATTTTCCTTTCCCACTCAGTGGGGATGAGCTTGTGGCTTTTCTTGTTGCCTCCAACACCATTTCTAGGGGCACAAGGACCGAGTGAGCCTGCCAGGGTCTTGGCAGGGTTTTCACTCTGCTCTCACTCTCTGATGGTCAAAGCCCACTAGAGGTTGTGATTTGGTTCTTGCCAGGCGTTGAGTGATGTCTGGAAGGGCTAAAATTGGGAAGGAACTAAGTTCATCCCATCAGCCCAGATCTGAGCCAGTGATTTGCCAAACTCTTTGGTCGCAGGCAGCGACTGCTGTGGGGAGAAGCATTCCAGCCTTTTCCCAAAGGGTGTCCGTCCCTTCTCAGAGAGTGCAGGATCATCACCAAGCTTTGAGCAGGTGAGAACCCAGCAGTGCCAAAACCCAGCGATTTCAGTCAGAAATGGCCCAAATTCACTCGGCTGCTTGTAGCTGAGGGTTTGACAGTGAACATGGTGGTCTTGCTGGGTTTGAACTTCATGATCCTAAAGGTCCTTTCCCACCTTAACAATCTGGGATTCTACACATTAAAAACCCCAAGCAAACCGCAATTGGTCCTCTCTCATCTTTCTGAAGTGTTCAACCATTTTGTTGGGTGACGTTTCCTTTACCTTTTGTGTGCTGCCTGTTTTACAGTTCTGCAGGACAATCTGGTCATTAAATCTCCTCAAATAAATCCTACCCACGTTTTTGTGTAGAGAGGAGGCCTGAATTAGAAAATCTGCTCTGTCCTTCTCAAGGGGAATGAGGAGGCAGGACAGTGTGGGCTGTTGGAGTCCAGCACAGGTGAGGATCCCACAGGTTCAAAGCTTCCTACTCCAGCCTTGTCTGAATAAATATACAGCAACCTTTGTAGTAACTACATCTGTATTTTCTCTGTTCCAGAATATTCCATATATCCCACTTTTTCTTCTGTCTTTTTCTTTTCTGTGTCATTAGCAGAAGTACTGATGCCTGCATAGGCTTCATGAAGACAATTACTGAGATGGGCTTTAGATTTGATTTAACCTTATTTTGACTATTACAATTTAATGATTTTTCTTCTTTTAATATGTATTTAAGTATTTTATAGAGCCCCTTTCTGTCCCATAAATCTACTACATAACCGGCCATAATGCAACTCAGATAAAAAAGTTTGAAATTGAATTTTTTTAGTTTAAAAAGTCTTTAAAACAAATTAACCTTTTTTGATCCTAAAACACCCCAGATCTTAAAGTTATTTCTCAGGGAATAAGGACCTTCAAACTTATTTCTCAGGAACAGAGAGAACATACCAGATTTGTTACAAGTACAGACTTTCTCTCTTTTCTGGTGAAAAATCCAGACTTGGCTGTTGCATCTCACTGGGTAGAGCTGGCCCTGAGCCCCACGCAGGCTTGTGTTAAGTGCATTTCACCATGTGTCCTTGTATCTAATCACGGGGATATTGTGATCACACACACTGTAAGTGTGTAGATACAAGAGCTCTCCCTCTCATGCAAATTTATGCCATAGCATTAAAATATTACATGCACTAATCTCTAAAAATGTAGGAGAAAAATGTGGGAAATAAACGAGCATCCTTTCAGATTTACAGGATTCCTGCCAATCATTTGCTATTTGATCTAGAAAGAAGACGAAATTGAGTATAAAACTGAAGTGAACCCCAAAAGCAGTAAGAAAGCACTGCTGGCTCCAGACCTGCAGCAGTCAGATCAGTCTGAAATGTCTCTGCCATGAAGCAGCACTGCGAGTACCTGCTCCTGAGCAAGCACCTCTGCTGCTCTCCCCTTGCTCCTCTTTGAGCCTTCCGTCGGGGCTGGTCCTGCTCAGCCTCACTTGCTCTCCCACTGAGATCAATGGGAACTTCCAAAGAAAGAGGGTCAGTAACTGTTCCTTTCTAAGGAAAATTGTTTGTGTAAATAAACAGCATTTCTGGCCTTCCCTTTCCTCCCAGAATAACTGTCTCCTTGCCTCTGTTAGAAAGAGAAAGTGAAGCTGTAGTTTGCAAACCCCCCGAATGACACTGCTCAAACCCTCTTTGCCTGTGTGGAAGAACTGAGGGTGCAGAGATTTGGTAGATTGGGAATGTCTTCTTTGCTGTAGTTTGGAAAATGAGGTTTATTTTTTTCCTGGTGATTTTATTGTTTTGTTGGAAATTAGGTCTTAGGTGGTGTGACTGGGGGTCTGAAGTAATATCTTCGATACTGGGGCAGATTGGAGCATAGGAGCTTGCTGCATGCTGGTGCAGAGTAGGAATTTGTGTGCTCCAAAGGGGTGGACTGGCAGGGCTGCTCCATAGGGTTTGTGCTCTGCTGTTTTTCTTTGCAAAGTCTTGGAAAACAGGTGGAAGCGATCTTGTGAGATATTTATTCTATATTTTTCTTTGAGATATGATGTATCAGAGCCAGTTCTTGCTATACAGAAAGCACTTTACTGCAATAAATAGCAATGATTTTTGCCAAGTTGAGGTTTGCTGACAGTTCCCAGATTTTACACTTCAGGCAGTGTATTTAAATGACTTACAAGGTGTAAATTGCTGCGTGGCTGCTGTGGAAGTCATGGCCTTTTTACGCCATTTGAAGCAGAAGCAGCAAAGTGCAGGAGATGGGGGGCTATGACGGGAGCTGGGTGTTTTCCCCACGGCCTGTGGGCATCTCAGAGCAATGGCCCTGGGAGGAAGCTCTGCCCAGAACACAGCACACCTGTGAGTGTGTGCAGGTCAGTGATGCCCGAGGCTCACAGAGGTCAGCTGCTGTTGCTGTGCATTTCACAAACAAAGATAATCATTGCTCTGAAGGGTTTGTGTTCTGTTTGGAACCAAAGAGAAAAATACTAAAGAAAAAACCTGTTATTGGAAAAGCCTAATCCAATATTGTTTATTGCTCATAGTTGTTCTCTGTTGCTTGTAGTTTGAACAGTAGCTATCTCCTGCTTTTTCATTAATCATAATTTTCTCATGCAATAACATCTTTTATCCTTTATAATTTTCTGTTACACTTTGCTTTGGTGTGCAGTTGTTGGTTGGTTGGTTTGTGTTCTTGACCTTGTGCTGTTTCTAATTTGTGCCCTGTCTCCACCCTCTGGAGCCCAGGGGGTAAGGAAGTGCAGGAGGGGGGATCAGGACTATTTGGATGAACAGAGAGGAGCTGGGCCTGGCAGGTGCCAGCCCGAGGGGCCGGCGGCTGGCACAGGGCGTGTGCCCGGCCGTGGGTGGGCGAGGATGGACCTGCCAGGGCGGCACTCGAGCTGGGCGCGCGGGTCCTGCTCCGCCACAGGGCCTCGCAGCAGCCCCTCCATCCTGCAGACATTTGCTTTACGTAAAGCAGCTCGCAGCTCTGCGAGTATTGATGTAGACATTACCACAAATCGCCACTTAGGGACCGGGAAGAATTGACTAACTG